AGGTAGCTCCTTTTGATGAATGGCGTGTTATGAAGTTGGGATTTTAGTGGTACTAAATTTATGGGTTTTTGGAATTTAGGGTGAAGGGAGAAGTGATGAAGGTTGGGAGACTGTTGGTCACAAGAAAGAGCACCGTCCCTCAAGAAGATCTGAAGAGGTTTGTTTATTTATTTATTTTTTACCATCAAAACTTTTGCTTTGTTTGTTCTCTATTTGGCAATGTAGATTTGGATCTTCTTTCCTTTTGCTCATTTTTGGATGGGTTTTTTTATTCAGGAAGAGGTTGGTGGAGGTTGGCAAACTGCTGGGCGCGAAAAACATCATCAGAAAAAGGTTTTATTTTACGTTTTCTTTTTTATTTTTGTTGAAGAAAATAAAGAGTGCAGTTGTACTACTGTTAATTGTAGCAATAGGCTTCTAGTATCAATTTTTAACCGCTGGATTTTCTTGAGATTCTTGCTAAAAAAATAATTATGGTTAATCCCAACTTTTAGGAGATTGCATAATTTTAGGAGCTAATTTAGCATGAATCTCCAAGCAATCTAACAGTTAAAAATTGATAGTAGAAGCCTTTTGCTACTATTAATTGTAGCCAAGCTGCACACATGCACGCACACAGACACGCGCGCGCGCACACGCNATTCCAGATTTTAATTCATGATACCTCATGAAGCTGAGAAGAGAGACATGCATAGGAACATGCATGGGTTTGCACTCGTGTACACATTCAAAGGTTTTTGAGTTTTTGTATGCATAATCATGCAGTCTTATATTAGTACTAGCCTGACTTAATCTAATTGCATGCTGTGTTACTTTTGGTACAATTTTTGCTGCCTCAAGTTAAACTAACTAGAAATAACTAATTAAACATTTTTGGTAGATTCCTGTAGATAACTGGCATAAGTACAAACAGCCTCCTGTCGAGCAAGAGTATATCCACGAAGCTGATCATGGTCTGAACATAGAACCATCAAGAGAGGAGCTTGCTGAGTTGTCTGCAGCCTGCAGCAAGCTCTGGGACCTTGACTCAAACCGCTTGATTCCTGGAAAAGACTATGAAATTGACTGTGGTGAAGGCAAAAAAGTCTATCAGAAAGAAGATGTGGCATCCGAGAGCCTATTTAGGTGGTTGAATGATGACATATTTCGGAGGCCTACTTATGGACGCTTCTGTTCTCTTTTGGATAATTACAATCCAAATGAAGGATATAAAGAAGTTGTTACTCCTCAAGAGAAGCATGAGCAAGATGCATTCATTGAGGAAATCAGCAGAACTGCTCCGATAAGATATCTTCATAAGTATCTAGTTTCTAATGGCATTGCACCTGAGGATTATAAAGAGTTTAAGAGAATGATGATAAATTTGTGGTTCGGTTTACATGGGAGGGGTGGTGGATCTAGTTGCTCTTCTGCTTTTGAGCATGTTTTTGTAGGAGAGATCAAAGGGCGCGGGAAGAATGAAGTCTCAGGCTTCCACAATTGGATTCAGGTAGATTTCCTTTTTGTTCTTTTTTAGATATTTGCCCCTGAAATCCTCCATAATTTGATATTAATCCCTCAAATCCTTAAAATTGCTTATAGCTTCTCAAATCATAAGGTACTTGCAATTGTCCCTCGAACTTATGTTAGATCTAAGGGGAATATTTCCTCAAATCTATTTGGCATTGAAGTTCCACTTATATCCCTCGGTTATGTTTAACCCCCCTCGCTTTAAAAGGATTAAACCCAAAACCCGCAAACTAAAAACTCAAGCCCACATTCTTCGTCTTCTCCAATGTAAAAACATCCCATATTTTAGCAATTGGTCGTGTTCGGTAGACTAACCCAACCATGGCTTACAAAAACTAAAAAACTAATAGAGGGACCAAATCCCAATAACCCTTATGTTTGAGGGACCTGTCAGCAGTTTCAATGATTTCAGAGGTTAATATCAAATTATGGAAGATTTACAGGATCAAAATTTGAAAATCCCTTCCTTTTTGTGAAGTTCACTTCTTGAAACCTTATCAATATGTGATTTGATAAAGATACAACAAATATACGTGTTTGTTAAAGTAGCTTTTAAGCTAACTTTTCCTTATCTACATGTTTGTTAACATCCAAAATAAGGTAGCCTTTAAGACCCATTTAAAGAAGTTGGGGGTTCCCTAATTTTTGAAAAATTAGCTTATAAGCTCATCTAAATAAGCTAAGTTTTGCTAAGCAAATAACTATTATACCCATACAACTTTCATAAATTTTTTATTTTAAAAGCCAAGCCCACCAAAAAATAAGCACTCACAGACAGCCCTCTTAGTCTAGTAAGTAGGAATGTACAAAAATTGAGATAATGCTGTGGTTCTGTACTATGAGCGAAAACATGTTAAATCAATGATATAATGTCGGTATTAGTAGCCTTGTAAAAATATGTTCTGACATATCGGTAAACTAATATCAACTAATTGAATCATATTTTTGTTTATATTATCCCAATTCACAGTTAGTGGCATTTTTTATCAATGTAAGATTGACAACATATAGTTTCTTTGATTCTCGAATTTTGTAGTTTTACATGGAAGAAGCTAAAGGAAATGTAGACTACCAAGGTTATGTATTCCCAAGGAGACGTGGACAATGTGTAAGTGCTGCCACTTGCTTCTGATTCATAGATTTTTTTTCCCTTTTAATGTCGATTTGTATGTTAGACATGACCAATTTTTCAATCATATTGATAGATATTGCTGCCATAAGAACCCTTGCAACTTTTATTTGCAACCAATATTTCCTATATCTTTTGAAGGTTTTTCTTTATACCAAATGAATTATAGATCAAAGCTTGATTAGATTATTGACCATAAAGACCATAAATTGTTGAAAACACAACATTTGTCACGACCTGGCTTTCATACTGCGGGTCAGAGATCTACTATGCATCTGGTTTGAATGAATCAGAGATGACTGTGGCTGGATAACGAACTGGAACCTGTATCTGTGACCTATGCAATCCAATAGGAGCTACCTCCATCAGTTGGGTTGGTGTCGGTTCCTGCTCATCCATTGGAAAAAGGGGTCATTCTCTTTGGGAGGATCTTCTCATTCCACGGGCTTCCTCAATCTATCAATTTCCAATCACCTCGATCACGTGGTGTCAGTTTCTGCATTTGCCGCATCTGATGTTGGCACAGTTTTTTCTTCAAAGGCCTCAGAAGAAGTTTCCTCTGAAGAGAGGGGGTAGTTCTTTCAGCAGTCCAGGATGAGCTGGCAAAAGTCGTGAGGATTCAGAATTGGAAGTGAAATGGAATCTGTGTCAGTAGAGATGGCCTCATCCCCCCACCGTCACTGTATATTAAAGTCGACAAAAGTCAAGGATCAATATAATCAATTGTGCATTAGTTTTGTTTTAGTAGTTGCAAACCCGGACATCGTTGGTTTGCATGGTAGTATCTGATACTTCCCTTACTACTGATACATCGCAAATTGCCATGACGCATGGAACAATTATATACTCTATGCATGAAAACAATTACTCTCAAGCTAATGACATCCTTCTAATGCTATACTTTGTGTTGAAATCTGCAGCCTGACTCTGAAACTCAATTGCTCACGCTTCAGTTTGAATGGAATGGCATCCTAAAATCTGTCTCCAGCAGTTTTATTGGAGTGAGCCCAGAGTTTGAAATCGCCCTTTATACTCTCTGCTTTTTTATGGGTGGAGAAGACAACCATATTCTTCTGGGTCCTTATGCTGTCAATATTAAGTGTTATCGTCTAGGAAATGACAGGATAGGATCTGTATTTCCAATAGCTGAATCTTAAATCTGAAATTAGTCGAGATAAAATAATAAAGCTTATATAAGCTTATGTTATGATATAATGTTCAAACCAATAATTATTGAGACTTTTGGACGGTTGTTTTTAACTCACTGCCTTGATGTATTACAATAATCAATACGTTTTTCATCTATTAGTGAATAATGTACACATGAATAAATTGTTATTTAATTTTCTATTTTGTTTTTGCGTAAATAAGTTTGTTGTTATGTCTATGCTGTTTACAATCATCAGCTTCTTTATGAGGTTTGCTGCATTAGGCGTTTGGTCATTGCAATAGTCAACGCTTAAATCCTACAGCGTAGTCAAATCGAACAACATAAAGGATTTGGAGCTTCTAAGGTACTTCTATATATCAAAACAAATGAGTGGACTATCCAATTTGATGGCATGCTCTTCAGTTTAGCAGGTTAGAGCGATTAAACTTATTTATCTCAAGGAAATTAGCCGCTCCTATTTATATCATATATTTTGCTTACAGATTTGAGTTTTTGCCGGCATGGTCTTGCACTTCTTTTGCTACATTAGTGTGAGGTTTCAAAACCTTAGTAGGATGGTATCCCATGCTTTCTGGTCGATAAGAGTTCATCCACATTGAAAAATGTGGACTCGTATACGCTCGCTCTGTAACTTTTTTGTTCCTGTGTCTACTTCTACTTCAGGTTAATTTCCTAATGCGATGCAATCGAAAACCAGCAGATTTCTTTGTTTGGCGTGGTTTTTTTTCTTTGTTTTGTGCTGTGTGTGTGTGCTGTGTTGCGTGTGGGGGGGGGGGGGGGGGGGTTGGGATTTCTGTAGAGGCCTCAATGTAGAAAGTCACCTAGGGAGTGAGGTATGTAAATACAACGCCAAAGCGGCCATCGGAACATTGAACTCCATCTAAAGTCCTAAAGCTGCTAACAAAAGTCCCGAAGTAAGCCACAGGATCCAAAGGTTGTCATATCATTGGCTTGATACACAATATGTTTGTGTGTGTGTTGATGTGTGTGGTGTGTTTGGGGGAGGGGGGGGGGGGGGGGGGCTTGCCGTAGAGGCCTCAATGTAGAAAGTCACATAGGGAGTAGGCAATGTAAACGCAACACCTAAAAGGGCCATCGAACATGCACTCCCCACCTAAAGCCTTAAAGCATGCTAACAAGGTCTCCAAGTAAGCACAACATCCAAAGGGTTGTCATATCATTGTTTTTATACCAATATGTTGAACAAATATGGACAAAACCAATCCACTTGAATCCCGTACCCGGTGAAGTTCAACCTAATTAACTTCGCGTCATTTGACGGAAATGTTCACCCACTCAACACCTAATTTATTGTAAGTCCTACCTGATAGTGATCTCCGGGAATGAGCCCCTAATGATTCAGTTATTCGTGGGCACCCTTCGCGGGACGGCATTCGATTGGTATCAACGTCTTAAGCCTGGGAGCATCAACTGCTGGGACGATATGGAAAGCTCGTCCCTCAACAACTTCTTCAATGATGACACCAAAGTGTCGATTGGAGCTCTTCTAGATGAGAAGTAGAAGGACGATGAATCAGTTAACAGTTTTGTCAAACGCTTTCACAACATGGCAGTGAATTACATGGATCCTGTCACAGAGGAGTTCATCTTGCAGACATGTCACAACAATCTCTCCATTGATGTCTTAGAAGCCCTGGGGGTTGTATCATCCAAAACTTAAAAAGAGTTAAAACTGCTCGGTGAACAGACCGAACGCTTTCTCAAAAGGAAAAAAAGCCGAGAGAGGTCAACTGACGACTAAGGCACTTGCAATTGCTGTCGACATTCATCAACAACAACCTTTGAGGCAACAAGGGACTCTTAATCCAAAGTTCTAGGAGGAGTATTCTTTCGAAGATGATGAAGTTCCAGCCATCTTCAAGTACCTCATCGCCAACAACAAAATCAAGTTATCACCTATTGAAAATCAGGAGGAAGCAAACATGACCTCGGATCCGAAGTACTATGCATATCACAGGAAGGTTCATCACCCTACAAAGGCTTGTATTACTCTGAAAAATAGCATTTAAGCATTGGTTGACGCCAGTATCATGACAGTAAAATAAGCCAAATGAGAACGGCATCCTCCGAAAGGTATATTAGATTAAATTGCTCCCTGATCCTTCGATAGGTATATGAGGTTAAACTGCTCTCTAATCCTCCGATGGGTATATGAGGTTAAACTGCTTCCCTTATTTCCAACGGGAAGTTCCTGGAGAATATTACTCTTAATATTCTTAAGGATAACCTAACGATGTGACCGATTACAATTGGATTCAGGTTCACCAAAGTGTTGGGGGTAGAATACTTCAATGCATTCCAATGGAAAGTTCCTGGAGAATATTACACATGGTATTCTTAAGGATAACCCAAAACCAGTTGATTATTCAAGATGAAAGCCAGTCATCTGAATAATCCACTCTTAATCATGATAAAGATGATTAAGAACCTCTCACTGTGGCTATTTAATCATTTCTAAAATGATTAAAACCCTCCCACTGTGATTTTCTGAGCATTTTTTCGTTGAGATGAGATTCAATGACTTCATACGGTCAATCTTTCCTCACAAACTCCCACGGTGTAATTGTGGTGCTTAATGATCCAATGTCCTCCATCACAAAATCCCTCACTGATCAAATCAATTGACGGTGGGTCCATAAAAATTCTTCATGGTTACATCCATTCCAACTCCCACTATACCTAAGCCTTTAACACTCCACTGTTGAAGTCCGTACACGACGGTTATCTGTACCTTCACTCTCCTTTGGTCAAACCTTTAAACAGTTAGGGCCAAAGTTAGAATTTCATCTCGATAAACGAGAAATCCACCTTCAGATTAGGTAACCAAACCTTTTGACAGTTAGGGTTATCTAAGTTTTTTTGATTCTCGGAGTGGAGATCTCACTCTTAGTTTCACCGTTTCAGATTCTCAAAATGGAGATCCCACTTTGAGTTTCTTTTGCAGCAGGAAATAAAATATAAAATTCTTCCTCTCCAGCATTAAGATCCATACTTTACACGCATGGAAGACTTTATCTCGATCCCTTATTAGAGATAAGTCTGCGCCTAACACGTGTTGTCGGTTAGTCTTTTGCCGTGAAAAGGACAAAAGCCCACGTATTCGACCTCGTGGCAGGCCATTATTAATAACGTCATAATCCATGCCTTGCACGCATGAGGGATTTTATCTCGTCCCCTAAGTAGAGATAAGTCTGCGCCTAACACACGTTACTGATTAGTCTTTCCTCGTAAAAAGGACAAAGCATATGTATTCAATATCATAGCACCAAGTCTAAGAGAGTTCATTCTTTTAGCACAATGTTGCCTGCGGAACGGACTTAAACAATTCGTATATTAGCCCGACTCAAACAGTAGTCGGTAAAGGCTTATCAAATCCGTTGACGGCTGAGGGTTTGTCAAAAATCCTATAAGTACGATAGTCACTGATGCATCAGTTTTATCAGTTGGCCTCGTGACTTGAGCACCCGGGACAATATCAATTCTAGCCGAAGCCTCCATGAGGAATTTTTAAAGCATTCTCAAATGTAGCCGTATCAGCTCCAATAGCTGATCCTTCAACCAAAACTCTCCTATAGTTAAGTAAATAACCAGCGGGACATAAGGGTAAGATCCATACCTGCATATGAACTAGCATCAACGGTTGGTCCTGTAGCCTCTACACTTGGGCTTGCCACGCGTTACAATGCCGCTCAAGCTTAAAGACAACGACGGTCAACGCATTACAAATGAGAGTCAACGCCGGTCAACGCGTTACAAATAAAAGTCAACGTCGGTCAACGCGTGACGAGGAGAGTTAACGTAGGTCAACGCGTGACGATGAGAGTCAATGTCGTTCAACGCGTTTTAATGAAGGTCAAAGCTAGTCAACACATCGACAATTTTTGCCAAATTATTTTTACTTAATTGCAGATAAATGTTGTTGATGATATTAGAGCCATTGCAATGAGGGACTAGTACTTTTTGTCGCAGGTATAGATCCAGGAGTACGTGCATCTCTGTATCAGCGAATAGTGCAGAGGGTTCGTAGAGCTTTGAATCGAACTCATGAAGATCTTCATGATAGTCAAGATGTGATTGTGGAGGAGGATCTCCTAAACACACACCAATCAAATCGACGGAGACGAGAAGGATCTTGCAAGAACGACGATGAAGCTGGACCTTCGCAACATGTTGGCAGCCCATCACAACCACACATGCAACCGGACAGCAAGCTCGTGAAAACTCAACTTCGTGGAGGAGAACAATGATCTGCTCGGGTAAGAAGAGGGAGACAAAGCAGAAGGGGAGATACATTTAGGTTGTATGTGATCGATTTATGGATTTTTTTATATCAACTCTATTTAAGTTATCAATATAGGTTATTTGTAAACCAATAGACATGATATATTTGATTTTGTTATGATGTTTTGGCATATGTGTCGTCATGATATGTTTATCAATTGCATTTTATTGCGATGTTTTAGTTTGTTTGTTCGCGTGGGAGAGAATCTAATATATATAATATATATATATAATATATATATATAATATATATATATATATATATATATATATAATATATATATATATATATATATATAAATATATATATATATATATATATATATTATATATATATATATATGAGCAAGACTCCTATCAACTTAAGTTGATGTCCACCAAAGTTGTAGAGCCACACATTTATTAATATAAAACACCTTGTTATATAATATAAGGATCCCTACGGCAATATGAGTGGTTAAAAACTTTGGTGGACACACTATTCCCTATCCACTTAAGTTGACACAAGTTTTCACCTATATATATATATATATATATATATATATATATATATATATATATATATATATATATATATATATAAATATATATTTAATATAGATGTGTATGAAGTTATGTACATGAATTTATGGAATTTATATGTTTGGATATGTACATAAGGAATTGGAAATTTTATATGCATAGGAAATAATTTATATGCATAGGAGATAAGCCATGAACATGTGTGCATGTTTTGTGCATGTCTAGAATATACACGGGGCTACCAATCCCATGTATTTGCGACTTCCAGTAAGCGAAGTCTGAACCGTCAAACTTCTCGATCTTAGATTTGATTTCCTCTGCCATGACTTTCTCATAAATTGCTGA